AAAACATTCAACAAGAGGGATCAGCTATGCCAAGAACTTAGAATAAAATGGTATTGGAGTTTTAATGTTAATGCCCACAATAAACAACACTAACACACGCAGTCTGATAGCATCATAGTGACCAGAAAACTTAGTGGATGGGTTTAAAGGGACACTGAAGACACTATAACCATGTCACCTCATTGGTTTGGTTATAGAGTCTGGAGCACCCTGGCACTGTCCCTCCATTTACCGTTTAATAATGGTCAAGCAATTCCAAAGGAGGTGTGGCTAAGGCAGAGTTTACTAACTTCCTTGTAACCAAAACTGATTCATACCGGCAATGGCACTGCAATGAACTGAATAGGGTCAGGCAATCACAGTCATCATTTCTGCTCATGCTAATCCTTCATTATACAATAAAAAAGAGAAATACCAGTATATACACCTCCCCAATGTGATCACAACAAAAATAAGTGATATTACCAATATAGAACTGGACTGTAATGTAAACAGCGTAGAACTTGATTGGGGTATAAACTAAAATAGAAAAAACATAAAAAACATAGTGCAAACTGTATGATAATAAATAAGTGATAAATAGGTATGTGAGTGAGAATCACATACCTATTTATCACTTATTTATTATCATACAGTTTGCACTATGTTTTTTATGTTTTTTCTATTTTAGTTTATACCCCAATCAAGTTCTACGCTGTTTACATTACAGTCCAGTTCTATATTGGTAATATCACTTATTTTTGTTGTGATCACATTGGGGAGGTGTATATACTGGTATTTATCTCTTTTTATTGTATTATGTAAATCTGGTGTATAAGGGAAGCACTAGGGTACCGGTTACACCATCTATTGTATACTTTATACTATATACAGAATTGTCAAAATTACAGTGAAGCGCCTACGCACTATCCTTCTTTTTTTTCTGTTATTTTTAATCCTTCATTAGCCCAAGCAGAGATGGAATGGGAGGCTGGGTACTTTTGTTTTCAATTAAAACATTAAAAAAACAGCTTAACTCTGAATAGAAAGACAACACCAGAGGTCCCCAGAGACTATAACCACTTTAATCAAATAAAGCAGTTATGGTGCCTACTTTGTCCCTTTGAATACGCAAGCCAGGTGAACTACATCTACAAAAACACTCTCTCACCTGGACACATGAGCCGCGTATTTCTTCTGCAAACGACGGATGGGGCTGGGAGCAGCTTTCTGAAGCAGTTCCACTGCAATATCTGAGAAATGGCAGACATAGCATATACATCAATATTCGTCCCAGAAGACAGTGCACGTTTTCTACATCATGGATCTGTCAAACATTTACTACTGGCAGATATTTAAGAGAGATTTAGATCTATTAAAGACCTGCATAATCTACTGGGAACTAACAGGGTTATTCACGAACGTGAGAAATTATAGAATTTCAAATTCAAAAGTTAAAAATGCCTTAACTGAAAACATTCTCTAAGTCAACTATGCTTCATGTTCGGCTACTTTGGCCTTTAATTTGAAATTCACTTTGAAAGCTTAGTTTAGTAAATAATTTTACTAAAGAATTCAGAACAGCAATATACTTTTTCCTATAAGGAAAAAATGATCATCAATACACAATGCTCTGTTAGCTAAATAATATTTATCTTTATTCAATATTCAGCTTGGCTTTCTATTCAAACTGAGCCAATACTCACCAGCCACTGGGCTAGACAGATTTTCCATGGGACAATCTCCCTCCCAGCCATAGTAAAGTCGCTTTCGAACCCGCTCACTCAGCTGGGGATGGCCTGGCAAAAACTGAATGAAAAAGAAAAAAAAAAGTTAATAATTAAAACTTACAAACAAAATCTCCCTTATTTGTCCTTGTAAATGGGGAGTAGGTTACTCAGAGTAGGAACAGAGCCAGAAGTTTACACTGACACAGATATGGAAAGGGGGAAGCCCTGTGCTACTCCTTGACTGTCACAGAGAGAGGGGGGCCTGAGAATCTGCACTGTATCAGGGAAATCAAGAGTAAAGAGGGTGGCATTGAGTTCGGGAGTCGGAATGAAAAGCACGTCCTAGGGTGGACAGTATTGGGGGCTAAGTATAAAACAGGTGTTACAGAGTGGACAAAGTGTCTGAGGTAGCCAGATTGGACACATAGTGAAAGGGTGTATTTAAGAATTGACTACATGTTTGGGGTCTATTAATGGACACTGTGAGCAGGGTCAGTTAATGAGCATTGGGTGAGGGGCTCAAGTAATGAGCCTACGTTGAGGAAGATCAGGACACAAGGTGAGGGTAAAGGGTACAGAGTGGGGGTCAGTTAATGGGCACAGGGTGAGGTGGTCAATTGGTTTGTTTCCGAGTGTGTTAGTGTGTACACTTTGAGGGGGTCAGTTAATGGTCCGTGAGTGAGTCAGTGGGCACAGTGTGGGGAGGGGGTTCAGTTGGTGGTTCCTGGGTTGGTTGGTGGGAAGAAGGTTAGGGGGTCAGTTGTCTCTGGGTAAGTTAGTGGGTACAGAGTGAGAGGGTCAGTTGCTGGTGTCTGGTAGTTGGTGGTCTCACTGGGTGGGCAGTGGGCAGTCTCACTGGGTTGGCAGTCTCTCTCTGGGTGGGCAGCGGGCAGTCTCTCTCTCTGGGTGGGCAGCGGGCAGTCTCTCTCTGGGTGGGTAGTGGGCAGTCTCTCTCTCTGGGTGGGTAGTGGGCAGTCTCTCTCTCTGGGTGGATTTTTTTTTTCTCTCTTTGGGTGCAGTCTCCCTCTCTGGGTCGGCAGTCTCTCTCTCTGGGTGGGCAGTGGGCAGCCTCTCTCTCTGGATGGGCAGCCTCTCTCTCTGGGTGGGTAGTGGGCAGCCTCTCTCTCTCTGGGTGGGTAGTGGGCAGTCTCTCTGGGTGGATAGTTTGTTTCTCTCTCTCTCTCTGGGTGGGCAGTCTCTCTCTCTGGGTAGTTAGCAGTCCCCCTCTCTCTCTCTCTCTGGGTAGTTAGCAGTCCCCCTCTCTCTCTCTGGGTAGTTAGCAGTCCCCCTCTCTCTCTCTGGGTAGTTAGCAGTCCCTCTCTCTCTCTCTCTCTGGGTAGTTAGCAGTCCCTCTCTCTCTCTGGGTAGTTAGCAGTCCCCCTCTCTCTCTCTCTCTCTGGGTAGTTAGCAGTCCCCCTCTCTCTCTCTCTCTGGGTAGTTTGCAGTCCCCCTCTGTCTCTCTCTCTCTGGGTAGTTTGCAGTCCCCCTCTGTCTCTCTCTCTCTGGGTAGTTTGCAGTCTCTCTCTGTCTCTCTCTCTCTGGGTAGTTTGCAGTCTCTCTCTGTCTCTCTCTCTCTCTCTCTCTCTGGGTAGTTTGCAGTCTCTCTCTCT